GTCTCTGTAGTAGAATACTTGATTGCCACGCAGACCAGCTCCACCCCCGTTCTCATCGCCTCGAATTTCCGCGTACTGGAGCTGGTCTTTCACTCCAACCATTGCAGCACTCGCACTACTGACCAGCTCTCGCGTTCTGTTCAGAAGACTACGCGCATGGTAGCTCGTCTTCGAGCCCAGTGCGAGGGTATGCGCAAACGCAATCTACTCCACCTAATTGACGATTTCGTCATTACTCGTCTCACTTACGTCTCACTCAAATCCACAAATCCGAACGCGATGAAATTTACGTTTACAATACTGCCCTTGGACTCCTCCCCCAACGCGTCAACGGAACGTCTTCTTCGACAAGTGGTACGCAACGCTATCGACGAGTTCATTGAAACCCATCGTACTGCTCAGGTGCAACGACTTTGCCGTTCATCTACTAGTCTTTGGCTTCTCTCTTTCATCGGCCACACCTCTTCTCATCCACCAGACCCCGTCTCACTACCGCACGCCCTTCGGGCAGTCTTCCGCGTCAAGCCACTACCCAAGAACATGCTCGACGCCACTATGACGCTCTCCGCCAAGCCCGCGTGGCTAGGCTTCGTAGCGAATACCACAACAACCAAGCCATCCTTTGTGCGAACGTTGCTCTGTACACCTCTTCCGTTGGTGCTTTTGCCATCATCTCCATCTGGACCTCCTCGTCACCGCATGGGAAGACGATGGTCATAGCCGCCACAATATGCATAACTTACTCCATCGAAATGGAGGAGGCAGCCATCGCTATGGCTGCCATCTCTACTGAAGCCAGTGTAGTACAGCGATTATAAGCCCATCATCTCGAACTTCACACGAGGCCATGTTTCGCTACCACACTGTGGCTCCTTCGCCCGCTCTTGCAGCGGGACGAACCACGCCACATTGAACAGTCTGGGTCCCCGCCCACTCTGGTCATTCAGGAAACCAGTCGGCTCACCAACACGCTCGAGGGTTCGTCAACCCAGCGGTGGGCTGCTCTGAATCAGACGCCCTGGTGCTGGATCGCCTGGTCACCTACCATGACATTGCCCAAAATTATCGCCCTGAATGGTACGCCTACCCGCTCCCTAACGATAGCCTTCCCTAGAGGTCTCAGATTGCCTGGCTGTTGACACACACCTTTCCATGCACCCTTATGTACGCCTTCATCCTCCCAAGCGTTAGCAATGCACGCTGCTGATTATGTGGAGGCATTGCCTCGCTCAACCACATCCGCTGGCTTGTCCGGAGGACCTGCCACCAACCGACCTCGTCTCGCCACTTTTTTCCGAGGAGCAATGAGTGGCGCTTCTTTTCAGCACAGAGGAATATGAAGCATCACTCAACTCGCTAAATATATGAATTCACGATGTGCTTCCTATGACTGCGAAAACTAGCTCCATGGACATTATTTACCTTCATATTTGTCCGAAGTATGCGAAGTTATCATCTCACGACATTTTAAATAGTCGGTTAGAAGAGCATCTAAATACTCTGCCAACGAGTGCGGTTATTCAACGAGAACATCGCAATCTGAGAAAAAATCTGGCAGAGGAATATTTTACCTGGAACTTCAGTGGTCTTTCCCATTATGACTGCATGGTTTCATTTCTATTTTTGAAGCCGAACTCATGACCATACTCTTTGCTCTATGAAAGTTAACTACTTTAATTGCAGTAGTTCCAAATATCATTGGTTCACATGTGTGCTCTTCCCTTACTGAGTCTGCTGAAACGCCTGTACTGAAGCTCTTTAATTCAGTATTTCCCGCTCACCTTCAATGTATACATGTATTTTGGTAACCAGGCCACAATGCTGCGTTGTCAAATAGAAGGGCTGACTTTAGCACAGAGGGTCCTTCTAGCGCAGATAATTTGGGTTTTCTCGCGAACAGCATAGAGACAAGATTCCGCCCACTGAAATTCTAAAAAAGCTTATCGGACTCTGTATGAACAGCTTCGCCAATATGAGTACCTTTTATTTTCCTGGCGCAGTGATTAATCAAAATTGAACATAAGAGGAATGTCCATTACCAGATTTCGTTGCCGTGTTAGCTTCCTCACTTTTAACCTGCATAAAGTAACTTTAGAGCTTTTCCCCCTCTGGCTCTTCTGTAATGAAGAGAAAAACATGAATCATTGTTTCTATCCTGCCGCCAGTTCACATCATTGAGAAAAAGAATCGCATTGCCACCTCTTTGAAGTCAGAGCCTAGAAGTAACAGAATCGGTTATTCCTTCTTTTGGCGCTTCTTATGAGTGAGGCCTTGGTATCGCTCTACGACGTACACGTGTTCTGTTTAATAAATAAGGTGCGTTAGCACGTGATCTTTTTGGGAGCGTCTCCGCAGCTATGCTAGGTGTCCCTGTGTTAATGATGCTCTAAAGTCAACAAAAACTGTTGTAGTCTGCATTCGATTTTCTTAAAGTGTTCCTTGTTTGTGGCGTCCTTTCTTTTTTAGCGCAATTTTTTCTGCTTTGGGCTACCCTCACAGGAATGTTTTCTTCGCGTCTGAGGAATTGATCAGTCTGTCTAAAAATGTCTAGCTGAATTTGCTATTTTTTATTATTTGAATACTAGTAATTTGTATTTAACGTCGTTATACCAAGTAATTATAACTATACGCGTAATATAAAGCAAACGCTTTGAAAATTCTCCTGCTACTCGGTCAATCCCCTCCGTTGGGTATGAGCCTTGAGATGAAGAGAACAAAAAGAACGAGAGCTGGAGCACCTTTAAAGAATTACCACAGACGTCAAGAACAACATACCTAGTCACTGCCATTACGCTCGACGGCGGCACATGATGAGCTTAGATTTCAAGTAAAATATTGTTATATCGTGCTTTAGACTTGGTTTATACTTCTGGTACGAGTTAAGTCATACTCAAATAAAACATTCCAGCCAGTAAAGCAGAACATCTTTACTAATCGGCCCATCCACATCATGGAACCGCACGAACTCATAGACGCATAGCGTAGGGGGTTCATGGGAGGATCCTGGGACGTATTCTCCCATATTCTCTAGTCTAATTGGGCTTTAACTCCTTTTATATTCTATAACAGCCGAATACAAATTTTACGTCTTAGTACCAACGACAGTGTGCTTTAAAGATTTCAGGAACAATATTGATTTGAGGTACTTAAGGTACAGGAACACACTGGACGAAAATTGTTGAAGGTTGCCCCGCCACATTGTCCGGAGAAAAGAATCTTCGTTTGATTCAGTTTCAGTTAAAGTTACCAGGCTCTTTTTACATAAAAAGACACGTTCCAAGAGATTTTGGTTGCTTTCTATATCAAGGAAGAAGCAGACGTGCCTGTTATTGCACGCTCCTTGATGTTATTGGCAAACAATGGTGAGTACTTGACCTCCATCCAGCCGTGTAGGGTGCTCCTGAGTAACGACGACACATAATTTGTGCTTATGCTGTAAGTGCGCGGCGTACTCGTGTGATCTTTTTTCACTTGTACTCCTTAAATGAAAGGCTAGCGTAAGCATTTCTCCTTTAACTCACTGTTTTCATTTTTGCTATATCAAACGCCCTTGTACCAAAATCAGCCCGTACAATTTAGGCAGTTTACCTAACCTCGCACGACTACTAGAAATGTAGCATGCGGATTCGGACCCTACACATTTCCAAATCTCAGTGTTGAGGCGCGCAACATCACATTCAAATGTAGCTGCACATGGAAACGCGGAGTTCGAGACTGCACGTGGGTGGCCTCGCAGTTATCTCAAAGCCCGCGTACACTGCGAAATTCTTCTCCAAACTGCTGAATAGATGACCACGCTGCAAGAAGAGATAACCGAAACAAAAAAAGAAGAAAAGCACTCAAATGTAAAACCGTGACAAGCTGACAGGTAGAAACGTTCCGTGAGCCAACCGCAGCGAGTAGCAGATAGCTCTAAACTTTTTCCACATACGCTTTGAGGCTCTTCGCTCGTCTCGACAGCATTCGCCATGTCGAAGGTGAGTTCGCGCCATCATTTATTCAGTTTTAGAAGAGACGAGGCCACTCGGAGCCGATGAGAAACTATGTTCATTTGTAGCCCGTTCTACTTTCCAGTTATCTCAGCTCCTGCGGTTGGCGCGTACGCATTGGTGAGTTTTCCTTCTTGCCTTGCGTCTGATTACAACAGTGGCCTCATTCCTTACCTCATATCCCCTGCACTTCAAGCAGTTGCAATGGACATGCAAAAAAAAAGCTGGATTGGCAAACCTTGCAAAGTAGCAGCCGTTCATGTGTGCTTCAAACATAGGCGTAACAGAAATGCAGCACGGCGCACCTAACAAAGACCGACAACTAATATTTACTGGACTGCTGTTCTCTCGAAAAAAAGAGCTTACGGTCACAGTGTCTAATCACAAAACAGCAACGCTGAACACACCATTACGCCTTTACATTCAACATGGTGCGATGTGCAGTGACTATAGAACCGTGTACACTAAGAAACGCTGCAAACAGTGGGAACCGAATGCTAGCGCGTTTCGTCTTGGTGCGCGGTGATGAGCTGCACATGCGTAAACCAGCATTTAGGCGTCGCGGCTCTGCATGCTCCACTTTTAACCGCGAAGGCAGTGCTGATTCTCGGCGTGCAACTAATATTATCTCGTAAGCAGTATATACATCATAGAGCGCAGATGTATAGTAATATACATATATATTTCTCTGAGCTAATTGTCTTGTGCGTGATTGTCGAAATACGTACAGGAAAACGAATCATTCTAGAGTTCACCTTCAAGGTGCTTCTGTTAGGCTGTGCGATGTACTGTTTTTATTGCATTTAAGAGCAATCTTAAAATGGTAATCCTATAGTCACATCGCAAAATTGATGTATCATCCAAATTGAGAGTTAACTAGTTTTTTGAATAACAAGCGATGTAATTCAACCAACAAACGAAAACTGCACAGAATCGCACATTCTGACCAGTTATCATTTCCTTTAACTGACGCGTGTAGTGAATATATGTGCCTATAATAACAAAGTTGCTTACTGAACAATACATAAATGTACTTGTATGCATCACAGTTCTGGAGGTGAAGAAGATCGACTTCGAATACATCCCGTCTTCTTGTGGCCAGACACTGGTGAACAGGTATGCATGTGTGTGTGTACCGCGTACAGAAGAGAGCTTGCACTGTCAGATGTGTTAGATCGTTAATTTCTGGGTTAAGGTATATCTACAACTTGAAATGCAACTGTTTTCTCCTGGCATAACGTGGGATGAAGTCGTTTGCTCTAATTAAGATGAAAATGCATTTCGCCCCACTGGTAAGATTCAAACTGAACTTCATCAGTGACGAGAATACTTGTGTTTAGACAGTCTTTCCAAACAGAAACAAAAATAAAAATATTTTTTCACAGAACTGAACTCAGTGAAAATTTTTTGGAATTTGAGTGTGTTTAAACGCCTTGGTCTGCTCATGTCGTCCAACCTCTCTTGGAAACATAAGCATGAAACTGTTGCTAACCTGCATAAAATTAATTTATACCTTTCTTCTAATTATTACTTTTACGTTGTTAAAGAGCGGAGCTCTTTAAGGTAACCGTTTCACCGGGTAGTGGGAACAGAAACTGTCACCATTATGAATCGGCAGGTGCTACTTCTATATTCTCCTTCCTATAAGCTTTCTGCATATGCCTACATACCCACTCGCGGTGGCTGATTTATTCAGTCATGCAATGAAATAGCTCTTATGGGTGAAAGAGCAAATACCGAGAGAGAGAGAGAGAAAAACAGGGAACGAGAAATATTCTTGGTGATGAGGCAATTGAACCCGCGTACACTATGATCCGAAAGCGAAGATACCAGCCACTCGGCGAGCCAGCCACCCTTTATCAGAACATAGTGAAGCTTTGTATAACGTTGTATAGCAAGGCGGCGGCAAAGGGAAGTCAGGGTGATGAAGAACGGAGAGAGTAAAGGATAACACAGAAAGAACGTCAAAGAGAGAGAGAAAGTAGGGGAAGAAAAAGGAGAGTTAAAATAGCGAGAAAAACAAATACGCGCACCGCAAATAGAAAAATAATAGAAATAAAAAGGCAGACGTAATTGACGTGTGAGAAACAGCATTATGAGAAAACTAGAGAACGTAGGAAGGGCATTTCCTGAATGCTTGGTAGCTCCAGTCCCGGCCGAATCTCAATATAAATACTCAGTACTCGTGGGAGAGCAACCGCATTGCATAGCTAGCATTTCAATTAGAACCTGTGTAAAAGTGAAGCATCACGTTTGGCACCTTAAAGAACCACTCAACAGGCTTCCGAAGTACAAAAATGGAGCGCAATATTCTTTTCTGACAGTTTTCGTCCTTCTTGGCGCACTACTGTGACGTAGACAGTAGTTTCCGTGACGTCTACAGCGTACATGCTCTCGATTAGTTGATTTGCGCGAAATATCACATGTGATTCGTCTCCTGTACTGCTTTGCCGTGCAGCCGCCCGTCCGTTGTTTTTAGTCTTGCATGAACATCGTGCACAATAAACTGATCAAACTTCATTTTTTGTGTGTTTGCGTAGAAACACACAAAAACACAAACTGCGCAAGCGGCGATAACAGCGTACAGCCGGGAAGCGCGAAGTCTTGATAGGCTCTAGTGCTTAGTGCTGATATTGTTCACTTGCTTTCAAGAACTACGAGGTGAGGAGTATGCATTATGTGTATGAAGGAGAAGAGAAAATCACGAGGGGGGGGGGGGGAAGTACGTTGTCGCTTCCACCGCCGTGGCCCTATCCACTAATTCCTCATTTTTGTCTCTCGTCGTAAATGGTCGTAACCACACCAACTTCTTACAACAATACGTGATCACTATCTTCATTATATCGTCTCTACCTTACTGCCTACGTGGCTACATCCTTCTAATGGCGGGCTCTTAAAGGTGCCCTGAAACACTGTTCCAAATAACCATGGAATGAATTTATTGGAAGAGCTTATTGCCTCACGAATTTAACGCCGCAAAGATTTTAAGAGTCCGTCTAGTACGAGTGGAGTTACAAATATTTGTAACACGCTGCAATCACATTCTCTCTTCTCTCGCACCGACGACAGCGCTGGAAGTTAAGAAGGGAGAGATGGCAGGGCCACAGAGAAACGACAGACGTGTCCCATGACCTTGAGAACTTTCTCTTTTTTTTTCTTCGAATGCACGGCTTTTTCAATGTGATCGCGTGCGCATGCGTATACAAGTAGCGACCTCCCACAGCAATATCTGTAACGAGCGAGCGTGCCATGTTCAAATCAGCTAGTGGCTGATAGATGGGCTTGCTTTGTGTGATTTTGGGGTATATTGCGTGTTTGTCGGGGGAAGAGAAAGCATTTTTTAGCCGACTTTGATAATTTATTGTAAATTGCAGGCCGCGTATTGCGCTATAAGATTTGGCGCGCGTGTTGTCGGGAGCCTCTACTACCGATCGGCTGCGTTTTCTGACCATGCTCAAAAAGTGTCGCTGTCCCGTGTACATTGATCCTCTTTGAAAGTATGGTGTGCTTCATATCGTTCAATGTGTTCTTTCTTGTTTTTTGTGGTCACTATTTTATTAAAATATTTTAGAAAGATTTGCAATAACGTGGAAAGGAGTTTTGTTCTATTTAAATTTCTCTCCCATACCTCTGGCGTTTGACCCAGCAGGACTCATTCACTTATTTTATCCTCCTCTCACTCTCTGCCCGACTTATGAAGACTTGACTACATTGCTAAGTTGAGCTCCGAGTACATCACCAAAAGGGAAAGGAAGAAAATGTGGCTGGTACAATGGCATATGGGAACTGGAAGAAAAAGAAAACAAACATTTGTTACTTCAGTTGAGGTGAAGTGGTGCTTTGTATTTGTTGAGAAGAAGATATTTCCTTTTCTATTTTCTCTAAGAATAAATAAATTGCGAAGAAAATCACAGAAGCAGTCCGCTTGCTAGACAGCAGTGTACGCATGGGTAGTATCAAAAATAACACGAAACAGAAGACAGGGTAAACTACGATGGTTCAGTGAAATGAAAAATATTAGACTAACAGTCTAGTTGTGTAATATGTTCGAGATCATGGCAGTCAGGCACAGAAGCTGAGATGACACTATAGTCTCTTATCTGCACAGCTTGTAATTGGTCGCGCAAATATGCCTCACAGCAGAGCTACTGGGCAGCAGCATGTCCTGGTTTCGCTAGGCAATTACATTCACACCTACCTTTTTCCTGCTCATACTATACTGTTATCTTGAGTGTTACCTTTTGTGCTCTGCTCAATAGTGCATACTATACTGTACGATTCTGTAGATGGCTATGCATGCTCTTTTTTTGTATTTTTCTTCTATATTGTTTTTATCTCTTTCGATCCGTGTTTGCTTATTTCTCAGTCTCTCCATATTTTCATATGCTCCTTCTTCTCTCTCTCCTTGTTTTTAATCCCTCTTTCTCCTTGTATATTTTGTTGTTCTTCTTTACTATTTTGCCAATACTTTCTATATGCTTATTTCTATGTCCTTGCTCTTCCCTCCTCATTGCGCTCCTGCTCACCCACACTCCTATTTCCCGCTCTTTTGCGGTATGGTACGGTACAAGGGTATGCTATGCGTTGCCTGGATAGCCGAGCGATTAGGACATTCCCCTTCCTAACGTTGACACGTGCTTCTCAATCTTGCATGAAAAGTTTCAGCAAATATTTCCTTCTTTCCGCTTCTTCCGATCTCTCTGTACCCATTCTTTGGCACATCTGAGTCATTGCATTGTGCACCGGTCAACTTGGCGCTCCTATTTTGGGAGCGTTGCACAAAAGGATGAATACGGTGCACGCTCTTCCGTAATGACCGTAATGTCCTTTCTACAATACACGGAAAACTGAGAGATGAAACACAAAGACACATGAATACACACTGTCTCGTTAGCACCCTCCGAGAGGAGTGCTTGTATGTGTGAAAAAAGTAAAAACCATTCTTCGTGGCTGCTTGACACTACCTAAGCGCAATTGCGCACATAGCAAGTCTATACATGTCAGTGCAAGCTGACTGGAAGGTTGAAAGACGAGAGGGTAGAGGAGAAAGTGAGAGATGTAGGGGGTACACATAGAGACACAATCCGTAAATAATGTACTGCCAATTTACGTCACTGCGCGCTCTGGGTCGTTCGTCGCAACAAGAACAAATTCAGGCTAGAGTTCCTGGTGCCGGTCCGTCCTGAAAGGCTGCAATAGTTCTTACTGCGATGACTTTTGCTATAGACGTTATGAAATGGTTCGCTAGCCTGCGCGCCCTGTCATGACTGAGGTCGTGAGGAGGCGTTGGGGACTATTCTACTATAACGCAGAGGGGTCGTCGGCTCCTCCCTAGGTGATTGCACTGCTAGAACACCGTAAAACTTCTAGGTCGGTTGGATGACAAGGCCTCGCCCTTTTTAGCTCATGGAAATGGTGCTTTGTTTTGAACCAAAGTTTTCTCTGATCGCTCTCTGCACAAAGGCTTGCAGTCGCACTAGTTCGCTTTTAACTTACAACCAAAATTCACGGCATTACTACAATGTGAATCTTCTAAAGTTTTTTTTTTCAAGATTTGCACATTTAGAAGCCTGATGTCACAATAATGCTCACTGCATTTCACTTTCTCTTTCAGCAAAGCGAAAAATTCAAAACAATGAATCCAATGGGACAGGTTCCAGTTTTACTGGTCGATGGAAAACCCATCAGCCAATCGGTACGTTCTGACATTTATCGAGCTGGTTTGTTGAAAATACCCATTCCTCTATGTTTTCTTTGTCAATATTTTAGTTGTCAATCCTGCATCTTCAGGCGCATGATGCTTGGCATCTCATTATGAAATTAGAGAGCTTGCCACAAAAAACGTCCGGCAATAATCTGAATCTATTATTTAAGAGAGATAAAAAATCAGTCCGGCCAGTGTGGAATAATAGATAACAATGCTCGCTCTTTTCCAAGCTTCATTCTCATGAGCTAAGCTAACCTTTTAACATTGGATATCAATGAATTTCCGCACGATGCTGCATTATTAAGTTCAATAGTTTGCAATCACGTTGAATGTGCTCCCTGCAGAATCCTCTGATGTATGTTCATGAAGAGAGAGAATATACGTTCATAAATATTAACAAATAAAAAATAAAATGATTGTATAAAGAGTCTTATACGAATGTTTGGCAAACCCTCTCGGCTTTCCCACCACTGTTATGAAAAAAGAAATGGTGCTATTATTAATAATAAAAGCTATTACTACGTCATTCTCAGGTGGCCATCATGGAGTACTTAGAAGAGATGTATCCAGAGCCAAGGATGCTGCCCGCAGATGCCTACCTCAGAGCTAAGGTAAAGACACAACTTCATTTCCTCTTGTTTTTTATATGTTTTTGACACATCTGTAGCGGCCATTTTGACGGAGGCAAAATGCTAGAGGTTCATGTGCGGAGATTTAGAGGTGCATTAAGGAATCCCGGATGTTCTACATTTTCGGAACCCCTCACTATGGTCCATTATAATCCCTCACTCTGGTCAATATTCTGGGACGTCAAATTCTGAGAAATAGCACAGTGTTCGCGATAACGTTTGTCACTGAACTAACGTAAGTAGAGATTGAGAAAAGCCTTTACCTCGATGCCACAGCTCCCTTCCTCATATAAGTATACATGAAATGTGGACATTACTCCATGATGCATTTTCTGAAAGAATCTTGCCACACAATAGTTACAAGAGGGGCAAATGATTTCAGAACTTCCTGCCACCTCTCGTATAGAAAATAGTGCAGGAGCCGTTAGCAACACCTCTGGCATGAAGCAGTGCAGAAGAAAGTTCATGCAATTAAACAGCAGCTTGGAAGACGGTCACTCACAGCCGGCTCTTCTGAAATTGAAGCCGTAATCAATCGACTTGGAAAAAGACATACACATCTTACACTCTTATTCTGTCTGTTGTATACGGTGCGTGAGTGCCTAGATGCATTCAGTAAGCTGTCATCCCCAAAGTTTTCACCAAACTATGGTGCTGCACTAACGGTCGTCTACTGCTGATTTGTTTTGTCATGAGGCTCTCTGCGCTACATTTCTCGCACCTTGCGGAAACACCCATCACGAACTATGTTATATATATTACGTCCTGTGTGATACATCAAAAACTGTGTTATACTTGCCACTGCTTATAGTAACAAATAAACCATTTTATATTTTTCAAATAATCAGGTAACGTGCATCAAGCAAGCATGTAGGGCTTATCCTTTCTTTAAAAAAGTATTTTCACGCCCAAGTCCTCTTTTTTATTCTAAGTTTGTGCAACATGGTCAGGCGGCTAGCGTCATCGTCCTACCTTCAGGTGCCAAAAAATATGCATGACAATGTTGACAGAGAACTTCAGCAAGCTGTGCAACTCTGGTTAGTGACTTTTGCGCCACAGTAACACTCCTGTCTGCTCAGCACTCGATGTGTGTACCTCACGAAAAAAAGGGTTGCAAAGGGTAAGTCTCGTCGTTCTTGTTGAATCTTGCTCCCTTGTCACTTCTTCTCTCCAAGAACAATGAGAGCCTAAAGGTCAATAAATAATCGAAGAGGGAAGGTCAATGTTTTCTAGATGTGATGGTCTTAAAGAAAAATACAACGAATGGTGCTAGGGGTTCTTCGCTTGGAAGTTTAATAGCTGCAAACGATGCCCATGGTCACATTTAAATGAATAGTAGATAAGACCGTTGTGTTTATAGAGGGTTTAAATAGTAGTCGTTTTATGATTTTGGGACGCTTAATGTAACCTTTAGATTTTAAAACTGTATTATTTCAACTTACTGGTCTATTAGCGTTTGTGTACATGCTATTCTAATATTTAGATAATTAATGTGTAATTCTAGAGTTCTGTTTTTTCAGACTATTGGCCAGTGATTGTGTAATTTACGCAGATGTCAGTAGGCATATATTGCAAGCAATGTCGCAAGCGCTGTTGCTGGTGGACATTACACTTTTATGGTCTCATAGTTAGAAAATTGAGTAGTATATATTTTAACTGTATATTTCGGTAGCGCTATTGTTAGTATTATGATTTAATCTACTCTAATACAGAATTTAGCACTATTAGTTCTGGTAACTATCAGTGCTTTAAATAATTATTTGTTCTTCTTAACTGACGTACAAGTTCGTTTTCCTCTCGATAGGCCATGTCTAAGTTACCTTTTAAAAGCTGTTTTCATTCACTCCCATCCATCTACATTCCCAATTTGTGCTAAGATTAGCAGCAATAAGTATCCCGTAGAAGCAGCTGTGCTTTGAAGATTACCGAGTGCAGTGACACCTGTAGAGACAACCGCAAAAGCAATAATAAAAAGTGCTTGATTTGCGCTAAACAGAAAGCAAGATGGCTGATTAGGGAAGATTTCACGTGGTGCAAGGGGTCTGTGCTGCACAATACAAGACTGTATATTAGAGTAGCCGGTTTGGTTGGCGTCTTATCTGTAGCCGCACGTGCACTGGAAAACAACAAAAATGACACACCAACTCAAAACTAAAAAAAAGAATGGCCACGGTGAGACGAAGCTCTTATCTGCGTGGCTGTAGCCTGCGGCTGACCGCAGATGATTGCTGCTTGTACATCAAAGGACACGAGTGTTTACGAAGATACAGAACGGGCGTCTAAAAGGGCTGACGCTAGCTTTTCATGGAAGCACTAGTTCACTTTTACTTTAGTGCGGTTTATATTAGCAGCGAAGCTCGTTTTGGTGGACAGGTAATAGCGAGGGATGATATCAAGGTAATAGCGAAGTTAGACGGAGGAGTACTCGATGCAATGGGAGTTACAGTCACTGAAAAATACAATCTGACACAAACTTTGTCATTTCACCTCGGACTTCCGTCCCAGTAGACAGAGCAGCGCTTGAAAGGGGGCCATCAGAAAAACCACAATTTTTTTTATGGCAACAGTAAAAACAGCGGGTTCATCCTGTCGAATCTGTTTTTTTTTTGATCACTGATACATTGGGCAGGCATACCTAAATATGCAGGACCACCATACAAATAAATTCAAGCGCGTTCTACCGCAAATCATGCCCCCATCAGGTAAGCCGCCTACGTAGAAAGTAGAGGAACACGATAGCATATGCAGAGTGGGTACAAGCCATGGATAAGAGGATACAAACAAACAAACATATGCATGACCTAATAAAAAAATACCATTGTCTTGCAGTCAGCATAGCCAAGATGATGATGATGACGATGACGATGATGATAAGAAGCTCGCACGTCAAAACTGTAGCTACCCAGCGCCGACAGGTTTGAAGAAGCGGCACTGCCATAATTATCGAGTACTTTGATGTACTTAGTAAATGCATACCATGCGTTTTTCAAATACCGGAACTCCGAGAATACGCCGCTTGCTTGTGTGCACATCACATCATTTTTTATATCAATATATTTTACGCTGTTTATTACGTCGAGATTTGCCACTGTGTCCTTTAGAACCGCAGTGCCCGCAAGTGCTCATGTGGAATTGTCGCAAAATCATTTTTTCAGCCGAGAACTTCGCAGTTCAACAAACTTTATTTACAACCTATAGCACACGAGAGAGGTGGTGCCTGTACGAATTGCGCTAGCGGAGTTTATTTTTCAGTATTTAAATGGAAGGCCTGCCTACAGTGGTGAGAGGGAGCTTCAGCGGAAAGCGAATTAAACGCCACCTGTCTGTCAAACGATAGGCTCAGGAGGAAACTTGCGCACGTTTTCTGAAAGCTGGAGGGAGAATGAGTAAAATGAGGGACAGCGCTAAAAAAGGAAAAAAAAACTGAATTTTAACACTGACGTAGTATTTCAGCGTGGCCATGAATGAGTATATAGTTGCTCCATAGCTGTTCAGAGCTCGTGAAATAACCAGAAACAATACAGAGAGAAGAGTGGCAAAACATAGAAACACTAACAAAGACATAGAAACATCTCAAAATTTATTTAGAATTTTCACGCAGCATGAAAGTCATTTTTTTATCTGGTGCACTAACACAAAGGACGGCAATAAGACTACAGGATACTTTATCATCATTTCAAGCAGTAGTACCAGAATTTAAACAATGGAAACCTTCAAAACCACCTTGGACGCTGCCACTTCTCAACGTTATCCGTGAAATAGACGGCATAGAGAAGAAAGCAGACATGGCACCTCTAGTAGCGGCACAGTTGGTACTTCATCAGCTTCATGTAATGCATAATGAAAAAACGAAGATATATACAGACGGATCATGCACTGAATAAGCGTCAGCCTGTGCGGTCTTTATACCCGAAATTAAGAAAAAGATGATGTACAAATTATCGCACAAATCTTCATCGACGACAGCAGAATTGGTGGCTATCTTTGAAGCTTTTAAGCTTATCTGCGAGAATCCTGAGCCACGAAAATGGGTGATATGTACTGATAGCAAACCTGCTCGTCAGCTAATCAGAAATGTGAGATCACCTTACAAAAATGGTGAAATAGCACAATGTATCGCAGAAACTGTGGAATATGCCTCATCGCAGGGTCACAACATCGTATTACAATGGATACCCAGCCACATTGAAATAAAGGGAAATGAAGATGCTGATAGTCTCGCGAAGAAAGCATTGAAGGAAGGATGGGATTGCGCATTTCCTATGTCTGGTGCGGATATTCGGCATTTTATATCGCAAGGAGCTAACCATTGTTTGATGGAGAAGTGGATTGAGAACCCTAAATCAAAGGAAACGGTACTTTATGAAGTTGATCCACACAGAAAATTTTCCATAGCGACAGACCTCCCACGACACCTAAAGACATTGATCCACCGACTTAGATTGGAAGTAGCATACACAAACAGCTCCCTGCACAAGGTACATCAATCCAACTCACCGGAATGCCATTGTGGTCATGCAGAAGAAACTGTTCGCCATATTCTTTTGGATTGCGTTATATACGCGAATGAAAGAGAAAAATTAAAGAACAAATTAGCAAGTTTGGACAGACGGCCCCTCACAATAAAGAAACTACTTGGACCATGGCCTGAGATGCATCTACAGAAAAAGTCAATAATCTTCCTGACAGAATTTTTAGTGGAGACCGGACTGGACAAGCGCCTATGACTGACAGCCAGAGATGGGTGTTATGTTAAATGTGGTCATGTATATACTGGCATTATATTAGTAAGGTGTGCGTGTAAGTAGTTTATGACTGTGTGAACTGCGTGAAGAAAACTGTGTATTGGCATAATATTTGAACTGGTTTCAGTGTGCCATTGTGTTTTTTTTTCTTATTTCTTTTTTCTTTCCCGTATTGTTAACTTTTGGGTACCGTTCTGTATTATTATTTTATTTTTCGCTGCAGAACTTTGTGATAGG